TTCGAGTGTTGTCATTGTGTTAGAGAGAATAAATTTGACATTAAACATAATCCAAGTTGACATGTTACATCATTTTCAGCCCCCTTTTTGGCATCTGCATTTGGTAGCAGGCCAAATTGACAAATCTCATGCAGAATAATGTATTTTGATTCCACAGCAGAGAAAGCTATGTAGTCTCTGTAAGTAGGTCTAGTGGGGAAAATATCGGTATTGGTATTGGTTATCGGCCAAATAAGTTTTAACATATTGGCATATCGGATATTGGGCAAAAATCCAATATTGTGCATACCTATTTTAATTTGTTCACACTTCCATATTTCTATACAGTACTGTTTTTAAATCATAAAGGTTTACTTTTTTTACAGTCTTGTAAAGACCCTGAACTATAATTTAGGATCAATATTTGACCATAGTCACTCAGCATACATTGTGTTTGACCTCTTGAAAACACCACAAACATGAAAAGTTCATACCTTATAAATATTTTCATAATTTTATACATAATTAAAAGGAGAAAACATCACAAAGACTAATTTACTTACCTTAGTAGCATGATCTGTAATCTTGCTGGTAGAGACCAAGATTAGAAGCTAAATTAACAAAACAGCTTAGTTTTTCAGCACTTTGCATCCCATCTAGGGTTCTTCTGTATGGATTTGAGTTGCAGCAGGTGATCAGCACCATAACTAACAAGCTCCAGACATTCATCAGTCTTTGCTAAATCTTCATTAATATGTAGATCTCCAGTGCCGACTTGTGGATGAGACCCAGTCAGATGGATAGGACACACTGCATGAACCAGCTGATAACATCACAAGCATTGCACTGAAACATACGAGGAGAAATGCGTTAAAAGTCCGATGAAGAACGGAAGAAGATCAGTTCAGAGTTAGATGAAGGAAGCCTGTCTGATGTGAACCCATCTGAAGAACCAAGTCTGCTGGAAGGATGCTGTTGTAACTCCAAATTCCATGAAAAGTCCACACAGAGGACTACTAAACTCACTACTATTCTAACTTCATAGATCTAAACCTCAGCAATTGTTAAAATACTGTAAAAATAAACATATATCTTCTGGAAAATAATATTTAGATGTCTCCAGACTTTTTATATTCTTGCAGAACCATCTTTAGAGGAAACCTCACAATTATCCAACGCCCGTGCACTAATAGAAACAGTGGCTCTACTTAAAAAAAAACACACGAGAAAACAAAATGTCCGTCTGCACAGCCGCTCAAGGCCTTTTAATATTGCTCTTTTTATGGGGCTTTGATATGCAATATTCCAGATTGATGTTCAAACTGGGCAGCACGGTTGAGCAGTGGTGAGAGCTGTTGCCTTTCAGCAGGAAAATCACAGGTTGCCTCCTGGCTTGCAGCCTTTCTGGATGGAATTTGTAATTCTCCCTGTTCAGTTCAATTATGTTTATTTATACTGTTCACACTCGTGTTTTTTCCTGGTACTCTGGTTTCCTCCCACAGACCCAAAACATGCATATTAGGTTCATTGGTAACTCTAAATTATCCCTAGGTGTGAGTGATTGTCTCGTTTGTCTCCATGTGTCTCTGTGATGGAGTTGCAAACTGTCCAAGGTGTACCGTGCCTCTTTCACAGAGCCTGAGATACGCACCAAAGGAGAAAGAGAGAACCATTTAAGGAAAATGGATAAATGGATGGATAGGTATTGAAACACAGAGAGTGATTAAAACATCCTGGAAAACTCAAACACAATCCTCCCAAAATGGAAGAGACAACCGCCACAGAGCAAACAGTGTTCTGAAGGATGAAGCACACCCTCCTCATTAGTTCTTTTGTTATTCCTATCTGGAAAACACAGGAGAGACCTTAAAGTTCGTACATCTAAGTTGAGCAATGACTTCAAGCCAACTCCTTCAGCTATCTTCCAAACCCCACTTCCAGGACCAGAACCCTATCTAATGTAAACTCCATACTTTTTACTCACATTTAAGAACATTTAGTATTTTATAATATATTTTTATCTACCTAATTATTTGTTTTTTTAATGCTTTTAATCTATTTTCTGATAGTGAAGGTCTCATTTATTGAAAGGAGGAGAAATGTATGTGAACAAGTGCCTCTTATTTATTAGAGATGCTCAGCAAATCTACTCTAAATCTTTTAGTGTGATGACAATAAAGCTTTTTGAGCCCAATATTAAATATGGCACGCTTGGAATAGAGGTGTCAAATGATGAATCTGCATTCACTGTTTTAATCAGCTGCACAGTCTGTTCTGATTTAACAAAATGACAAAAACAATATACTCTAAGGCAGAAAAAATGTGAGTTTAATCAGAATTTTATCAGTCTTTTTTTTGCACATTTGATATTATTGCAACAGTCTGTGAGAGGGTGTGTTGCAATCATTGAATTAGCGTCACAGCAGAAACAAAAGTTCAGGGGTTGAATCTCCTGATGCTTATTTTCTGCTCGCCAACAGCGTATCACTTTCCTCATGTAGTGCGTTTTCAGATGTTTCTTGCCAACAGTTCAGTCTGTTTGGACCCAAATCATTTCTGCTTGTACGTATACTTCTGGGTTTTATTACAGCAATATCTTTTTTCACATTATCAACTAATTTGATTTGACCTACATTTAAAAATAGTCAAGAGCGTGGCTTAAATACGGTAAATAGGACCTTTCTCTATTTACAGTAAATATCAATTGTACCTTGACGCATGTAGAAGATTTTAACACAGAACTAGAAAAATTGTGTTTCCTGCAAAAATGCAGTGTGAATATTTATTACAGAAGAACTTGCTGAAAAACAGCTGAAATTAGCTATTAAAAAAACATGCTGAAATGCAGCTGAAATGAAAGAACAAGCCTAAATTAGCAGAAGAAAGCAGAAAGAAAATATATTTGTTGAATTAGGCTTAAATAAACAGAAATGAGCACAAAAATATGGAAATCAGCTTTAAAATAAGCTCAAATTAGCTAAAATGAAAACAACTCAAAAGTAGCTAAAAAGGCAGAACAAAGCTTAATCTACGAGAAGGAAGTAGAAAAAGCTGAAATGAGCTAAAAAAAAATCTGGAATTAGCTGAAAAAGCTAAAATTTGCATAAAACCAGCTAAATAGTAGCATAAAAAGCTGAAACTAGCTGAAAAATCTGGAAGGAGCATTTTTTTTCTTCTTTCAGCTGCTTCCTTCTTCAGGGGTCGCCACAGCGAACTAAGTCACACTAAGACTTGGCAATTATTTTTACGCTGGATGCCCTTCCTGACACAACCACAGACCACCGAGCTACCACAGTCCTCTGTATCGAGCAGAAAGCTGCTTTCTAGGACGCCCGGGTGAGCAGATTGGGTGTGTGGGTAAGAGCCTTACTCAAGAGCCCAGAGTGGGAAATTAGGGTGGAGACAGGTGTGGGCGCTTCACCAATCCCACCCACATTTTTGATGTTGTCGGTAAACTGGGAGTTGAGCCAGCGATCTTCCGATCACAGGTCCAGGCGCCTGAGATTGGAAGGCTATAAAAGGAGCCATCCTTGTATGCCTAAGAAAGGAGCATAAAAAGCTTAAATTAGCAGAAAGAAGTTAATTGGACTGAAAGTAGCAGGAATTATCAAGAAAAAATAAAATCTGAAAACTGCTGAAATTAGCTAAAATATGCTAAAGGGTAGCTGAAAAGGTAGAACAAGTTTAAATTAGCAGAAGAAAGCAGAATGAACACAAGTTTGCCCAAACAGGCTGAAAGAAGCAGACATGAGCACAAAAATGTGGAAATTGTCTGAAAATAACTTAAATTAGCCACACGAAAAAAAAACAGCTGAAAAGTAGCTAAAAAGCAGAAAGGAGCTTAAATTACCAGAAGGAATCAGAGAGAGCACATTTTTGCTGAATTAGGCTGAAAAAAGTGGAAATTAGTGCAAAAAATGTGGAATTAACTGAAAGGTTAACGTTAGCATAAAAACAGCTAAATAGTAGCTGAAATAACAGAAAAAGCGTAAACTTGCAGAAATAAGCTGAAAGGAGGATAGCAAGCTGAAATTAGCAGAAAGAAGTTAGAAGAAGCACAAAAATCTAGTTAGCAGAAAGAAGCTGAAGGGAGCACAAAACAGCTGAAAGTAGCTGAAAAAAGTTTAAATTTGCACAAGGAAGCTGAAAGAAGCTGAAGCAGAACAAAATGTGAAATGAGCAGTAAAAGGCTGTAAACAGATCTAAAGATTTAAAGGATGTAAAATGAGCTCATTTAATTTCTCTGAGAAAAAAATGGCAGAAAAGGCTAAATATTTCAAAAAGCTAAAGTTGCACCAATACTAAAAGTCATAGCACCCTTCTTCTGAAATAGTTGAACATTTTGATATATGATTTGTTGAAATAGTTTGAAAACTGCGGGACGAGAACGTACAGAAGAAAAATGGATCACAATAGAGTGAATGCTTCATAAACGTTCATCCTATTAAGCACAGACTCCTTTGAATACCAAATCCTCTGGATGCCAGCAGCCTCTGCAGACAAGCAACCTAAAAGGAGGTCAATTGTTGAAATTTAATGCCTGCCCTCTATATTTAGAGGGAGTCTGAGTAGGGTAGAAAACTCACACTTCCTTTTTTCCACAGAACAAGGTGCCGTGGGTCAGACTTCACCTGAGCAAGGCCATCTCAGTGAAGCAGAAAACCCAAGGCCTGTTTTCACTCTAAACCAGGCACTTCCTCCCCACCCATTTGCTGCCAGGCCTTATTCAATAAACATGGGCTTAATTCACTTTTTTTTTTTTTTACTCTTTACTCTAGCTTGTCAGGTGGTCTGTGAAAGTGGCTCTCTGGGAAAGTAGCAGAAAGCAAAACTTATACAAGAAAATGTGACTCAAAGTCAGATTGGAGCTGTTATTAGTTTGTGGTGTTGAGTGAAATGATTCTGGTTTCCTGGCAAAGACTTTTTGAATTTGATTGAACTTTTTAAAACATGATTTTTTTTTTTTATCTCACATGTTCCCATTTTTCTTGATGTTTTCTCTCTTTTTTATGCTTTTTCAGGCAAACTGCTATTACCACGGAGAGGTGGAGGGTCATGTCAACTCAGACGTCAGCCTCAGCACTTGTGCTGGAATTAGGTGAGTTTGTCATACATGATTTGCCTTCCATGGTAATAATGTTGTTCTAACACGTCACTTATAATCTGCACTGAAGGCCAGGGAGTGTAAAACCTCCCTCTGCTATTGCTTTTTGTGTTGCTGGATGAGTTGATCGGTTTTATTTGAATTGAGTCTCAAATGAGTTGAATTTCACGGCTGTCAAGTTCAAGTCGGCTGGTTGTGCCTCTTTCTTTATGCGGCATAAAAGAAGTCTCACAGGTAAAAAACGTAAAGTCGAATGATTGTGCCTGCTTTAAACACAGTACCACTTTAACCAACCATTTTACCAAACATCTGTCACACATACGCGTCAACTTTCTGGTTAGATTTTGGTTTGCAGGGTTGCAGTTTCTATTTTACCCCTTTTTTTCCGTTTGTTTAAAAGACTACACATCCATCAGAAGTTGTTAAAAAAAGACCCAAATTAAGAATTTTTTTTTTATATATTCACAATTATCCAATATTACATTTCTGGGTAATAAAGGTCGGTATAAGACCTTTGCTTGCAGTATCTGGTGTGACGCCCAGATGCAGTAACAGCTGTAACTAAACTCCAGGATCCGTTTTGATTCCTGAAAATGAGGTGCTTACTTCAGGTTCATTTCTGTTAAATTGATTTTTTCAACCACTGAAACTAAATAAAGTCAGTATTTTCTGCCATTGTATTTTTTGGAATGTGTAATGTGCATACAGTAGTTTTAGTGTTGTTCAATGACCTTCATTCTCTTAAGACTCACATGTACTTAATTTGCTGTAATGATTTAAAATTCATGAGGGCAGACTCAATATTGTGATACTATCACCACAATGTTACACATAGAGGTGAAAGTTCATTAAACTCCCTACCAGCAGATTTAATCATTGTCATTTCGTGACATAATAATAATATGACTCATGATTGTTCAAAGCAGGGTTCCCGACACTGGTCCTTGAGGAACCCCGCCCTGCATGTTTTACTTGTTGCCCTGATTTGACTCAACTGATTTGAATAAATGGGTGATTAACCTGCATCTGCAGAACTTGAAGTAATTAAATTGCTGAATCAGGCATGTTGTAGCAGGAAACAACTGAAACATGCAGGATGGTGTTCCTCAGGGCCCTGGGTTGGGAACCACTGGTTCAGAGGAACTGCGCAAAAATAACAGCGATATGTATGTATGTATGTATGTTTTATTTATTCATTTCATTTCATCCAAACAACAAATATAATACAATTTAAAGAAAAGAAAAAAGATATACAATCACCGAAATAAAATGAAAGGCAGCAGAAGAAGAATGAATTCTTATATCTGCCCCTTGTCCCCAAAATATATTCCAAACAAAATTACTATACAAAAGCAAGATGAATTTATAAAAAAATAAAAAAGTAAAAAATAATTAAAAAAAACTTAGCTAAAATATAAGATCAACTGTAAACAATTTTTATGAACTCACATTATACTTAATATTTTTTTTTAAAACAAATTTTTATCATCCTCTTGAATATTTACATAGTTTTGGCATTTTTAATATCAACCTCCAGATCATTCCACAATCTAATACCCTGAGATATAGTGGATCGCATCTTCAGACTGGTGCGACACCACGGCTTCACAAACATCTCCATCCCCTTAAGATAATAATTACTTTCTCTTTTAACAAATTTCCCTTGAATGTTAGTAGGTAGTATGTTTTTGTTGGCCCCATACATAAACAGTAAGATATTGTAATCAACCAAGTCATAAAATTTTAATAACTTTAGCTGAAGAAACAATATATTTGACGGATGGTTATAATCTTTTCTGGTAATAATTCTTATGGACGATATTATGGATATGGACGAAGAAGCTTCAGCTGCTGCACCAACTAAAGTCCCAGCCAAAGCCCCGAGGAAGATGTCGACCCCCGAAAGCAAAGCAGTAAGAACGCAATCTCCCGTAGCTCATCGTGTCCGCCGTGGCCGACTACAAGGAGCGGAATTGAGTTTCTCTGGTGGCGCTCAAGAAGGTGCTGGCCGGGAAAGGAGTGGACATAAACGAGGCCAACAAACACATCCACACCTCCGTCACCAAGCTGGTCAACAATGGCACCCTGAGCTAGACTAAAGGCACCGGCGCCTCCAGATACTTCAAGCTCACCAAGAAGGAGCCTGCAGCTGCCAAACCAGCCAAGAAGGTGGTGAAGAAGAAGGCTTCTGCCAAAATCAAGAAGCCTGCTGCCAAGAAGACCACGGCAGCCAAGAAACCCACTGCTAAGAAGCCAAAGGCAGTAAAGAAAGAAGTCCCCCAAGAAGGCACCGGCAAAGAAGGCTGTCAAGAAGATGACCAAGAGCCCTAAGAAGGTCACTCCTAAGAAGCCAAAGGCTGCCAAGAAGTCTGCAGTCTAGAAAACTGGCACTAATCCCTGCAGCCAAGAAGGCCAAGTAGTAAAACTGAGCTTCATGAGCTCTTCATCCCACACTAATAATAATAATAATAATAATTGTAATAATCGTGAGTGATTTTGCCACTTAGAAGATTCTCTGGGTTTTTTTGTGACCTCAGGTCTCTCTTGTAAATGAGTTCCCTTGACTCAATGAGACTAACCTGTATAAATAAAGGTTGAATGACCTCCTAAGGTTTTACGTACCTACCTGGGGTGGGTAACAGCAGCCTTTTATTTACTCCAGTCATGTATAGTATGTTTGAACGTGGCTTCCTGGAGTCTAAACTCCTTAGAGACAGTTGTGCAACTTTTTCCAGGCTGACGTGCTCAAAAACTCTTTTTTAAGTAGGGTCTTTGTGCATCAAAGTGCTTTGACCTTACGTTTTGATGATCACGCTTTTATGTGTATTTCCAATTTAAGTAGCAACCAAACTTTTGCCACTCAGTTTGGCAACATCAGATGTTTTTTTAATGAATAAAACATCTTACAGGTAGTCCAGTTATTTGTGATTCTTAAAACTACCTTTTAGGAAATGTATGAAAATCTGAGTAATATTTCTGCAAACGCGCAGACAAAATCACAAACATTATAGAAGTCAGGATATGCTTTGCAACAAAAGTTAGCAGAGATTTCTGTCTCTTTATGCAGCTGAAAATAACATATTGTGAGGCTTTAGACAAGTGAGGAGTTTCCGTGTTGGAAATGCTTTATTTGCAGATGTCAAACAAGAGAAATGATTGCAGCAGTATCATTGGGCACCATCCAAAATGTTTTCATAAATCAGCCAAAAACCCAAACCCTGTAGAGTGATTTAGCAGACCGAGTATGAACTGCTGGTCATAACAATTATTTATTTGTTTCAGTTTCTCTGAAACCTGTCTGTGCGGTGACAGATCAATAAAACGTTTTTGACAGTGCATTGCTTGACCCCATCGCCGACACAAACGGTTCCTGGTTTGGATTGGCTGTTCTCAAACTTGTGATGGTTATTTAGTAGGAGTTCATGTGTTTTGAGCATTGTGTAATCGTTTATAGGAACCCACAGCGCTGTCGGCTGCAGCTGTGACAAGAAATTAGTTAAGTAGCCAAAATTATCACTGAACATACCATAATTTCTGGACTATAAGCCGCTACGTTTTCCGCACGCTTTGAACACCGCGGCTTATACAATGCTGCAACTAATTTATGGATTTTTTTTACGGGCTAACTAGCTTCATGCTGCCAAAACATTTAGCCTTGTCACACCCAGGCACTCATAGCTTCCCAATACACGTCTCTCTTGGGGGTGGGTCCTCTTGACTCAATGAGACTACCTGTATAAGTAAAGGTAGAAAACCCAACAGGTCACATCGGACCAATGAAACGAGGAGGGAAGGAAAGAACTGCGAGAGAGAACGTTCTCTCCTCCCCTCCCAGTTGTGCTCCCAGGGGGTTTCCCCTCTCCCTGGGGCCATAATGGGGAGCCCTATTTAAAAAGGCTGCTGCGTCCCATCCTCCTTCCTCCTGTACACTGCACAGGAGGAAGGTGGAGATAGTACCATAATGAACGACTCCCTTGTAGGCTACTGTACTTTTGATTGATTGATATTTTTTACCAGTCATGTTACAGGTGCTGTTCAGGGAAAAAAAAAAACATTTACTGTACGCATTTGTGCATGTTACCGGTATATATTTAATTAAAAGTTTAAAAAATCTTTCTGTGCAAACTCAAGGCAATTATATTTTTTTTAGTGGGCATGGCTTATATTCAGGTGCGCTCAATAATCTGGAATATATGGTAGAAATTATGAAAGACAATCATCTATCGCCAAGTAAAAAGAACTGAATCTTTCATTATTATTACCAAATGATATTGATGAATGTCAAAGTTCATGCTCAATAATCCAGTTTAAAAAAATGCAGCAAAGTTCAGTCAGGTCATCTGGACAGTTTCATTTATTGAGTCGTTTCATCCGTCATCCAAAGGACTTTATCAGTCTGAGGAGCCACAACAAACTCAGTCCCACGAGCAGCACACTCACATAGTGGACCAACCAGTTTGCCAGTGATAAGCTGGTTTCTGGAGCCCGCCCTCTCCTCCGTCGACTCCTCTGAGGCAGCCATAGCCAAAGTGATTCAAAACATCAAAGTTCATGCTCAGTAATCCAGATACAGACACCGATGAAGTCCTTTGGATGAAGGATGAAACATCTCAACAAAAAAAGAAACCGTCCAGATGACCAGACTGAACTTTGTTGGATATTAATGAATGATTTCACTTATAGTCTTTACAGTATATAGAATGGCAAATAAAATACATTTTATATTTTAAAGCAGTAGAACTAAACAAATCTACTTCAACTCAATTCAGACTTTTCTACAGGATGAATTTGTCCTTCAGTGTTTGCAGCCAGATATTTTAAATCCTCTTGAAGGTTTTGTTGGTGGTTGCAGTTCTGTTTGCAACTTGGAACAGCAGCATCACAGTCAAGGACAAAAACGGCTTACTTTTTATTTGGGAGCTGCGCTTAAGCCCCTTAAAACTGATAGTAGGAAATAGCATCCCGAGCTGCTTAAGATAATCAACACACAATGCCCTCTGTGCAAAATGATGATGAAGCATAATCAGTCAGAGGTTTTCAGCTACACTGCAAAAATGTCCAAGACAGGAGGTCATTTTGACTTTCTTTGCCCAGATATAATTTATATGAATTATTTTTTTTCTTGTATTGTATAATTTCTTCTTAGCTTATTGAAGTCCTTCTTGTTTAGTTTTTTTCATTTTATTTCATCTCAGTCTAAATGTGCTTTAAATCGTTTTGCCTGATCCTTTTCTTTCTGCAGGGGTTTCGTGTCTCTTGGAGGCAGCTCCTACATGCTGGAACCTTGCACCAGTTGCTCTAATGGGACTCACTGGATATACTCAGCAGAACACCTCAGTTTTGTTTCCGGAACCTGTGGCCACGATTTCAACATATCCTACCCCACTGCGTTCACAGACAGCAGCCCGTTCAAGGCCTTCCGCTCAAGAGTAAGGACTTTTTTTTTAACTGTCTGTTCTTTACTTTGTTTTTTTGTTTTTTATGGGAGGAAATGTGGAAGTTGACAGATGAGGAATCACACCAAACTCAGTTTACACAGTCTGTGCCCCTTTAAGTGACCGTCCGGTAAAAAAGATTCCCTGCTAGTTTTTTTTTTTTTTTAAAAGAACATACTGCAGTGAAAAATAGCTCAAAGGCAATTTTAACTAAATAATCTAGATTTCTTTTTAGTTTGTGTCAAGGACATTTTTCAAGCAGATTTCCCCCACAGTTTTACTCAATAACACGTTAGGGCTCCTTGTATTTTGTGCATTTAAAACACCATCACCCTCTAGCCCTTTAGAAAAAGACCATTTGTCATGCGGATATAAATAAATGGCCTACTATATATTTTAGAGGCTGCTACTTGTTGAATTATTCACTCATTCCCTCCATCTGAAGCATCCATTAGTGTCCTGAACGTATGGAGAGCGGCAGTTGTTAAACGCCTGAGCAAAAAAACACGTCGGCTATTAAACGGCTCCATTTGCTCTCGCCATGAAGTAAGACTGAAGACTCCTTCAGGTCCAGTCCAAACAGAATTCAACCCGTCACTTTAAAGAAACCGTTTCTTGTTTCACTTCCTTCACTCAAACCCTTGCGTCCTCCCGAGCATGGAGATAAATCATTTGAGCCACGTCCTTATGAAGCTTCAAATCAGAGAATGAGGTTTTATAAATAATGAGAAGTGATGAGTGGAAAACACAGAATTTAGTGATTTTTATCTTAGATCTATAAAACAAGACGAGTTCAGGCAAACATGACTGATTTACCAAAGTTCATGCTCAATTATCCAGGTAAAAATCCATCAATGTTTAGTCAGGTCATCTGGACGGTTTCTTTTTTTTTTTTGCTTTTGTCCTTCAGCCAAAGGACTTCTTAAATCTGAGGAGCCACCAAATAAACTGATTCCAACAAACAGCATACTCCTTAGTGGAAAAAAAAACAGTTTGCTGGTGCTAAGATGGCCTCCAGAGCCCGCCCTGTCCCTCATCAACTCCTCTGGGGCAGTCGTACCAAAGTGGTTCAAAACACCAACATTAGACAATCATAAAAGAGGCATACAGATTTTTTTTTTAATCAATTAAAATAAGATGGCAAAAAAAAGTAGCAAGAACAGTTAGATTATAAGACGAATGTAGAAAACTAAAAACAGGAACATGTCTGCATTGGTTCTTGCCAGGAGTCCCAACAGATGCTTAAAGTCACTTAGAGAGGTCAAGGTCGAGAGCTTCAGATCTTTTTGCAAGATATTCTAGGAAACGGGAGCAGAGTAGGAGAAGAACCTTTTACCTCGTTCATTTTACATTGAGGGGACACTGCAGGTAATAATGTCCTGAGAGCGCACGCTGTAGCTGCACTCACGCAGAGACATGTAGGAGGACATGTATGAAGGCAGTTAATTCAGCTCGATCCGAATGAGTTTGTAATCTGAATGAGAGGGATGGTTTATGCCGATTCATAATCCGAACGGTGTGCATGTAAACACTTAATCTGATCATTTTATTCCGATAGTGGACAACTGACCTGACTGTGCATGTGCAACCTATGGCAACCTTACGCATTTCCGCCTGGCTAGATGTTAATATGTCGGGGAAACAAAACTGGTCGGTGAGCGGCAACATTTCTACTAGAAACTTTGAAAGAGCTCAAAATGATCTGTATTACCTGTAGCTCCATCAGGGAGAGCAGTAACGTCTCCACCGTCATTAAAACCTGTCGCAGGTCCATTTTGGGCGCTCAGGTTTGTTTACGTTCATCATGGAAGTAGAACTTCTTCTGGGGTTTTTTAAGGAGAGTTTACCACTCTGCGCCTGTCGGTACTTCTGTGTAGAATAAAAGCCTGCTGCATGTAAACGCTCGTCGTGAACGGATTGTGTTCATGTAAATCATACATTTGGATTATTTAATACAAATACATTTCAATCCGATCAAAGAATTTTGCGCATGTAAACAGCTAATGTTCAGTCAGGTTATCTGGACGGTTTATTGTTTTTTTTCTGAGACGTTTCGTCCTTCATCCTAAGGGCTTTTTCAATCTGAGGAGCCACCAAACAAACTGATTCTGATTGACGGGGGAGAGGGCAGGCCCTGGAGGCCATCTTAGCACCAGCAAACTGTTTCTCCCCCCCCCCCCCACTATGGAGTATGCTGTTTGTGTGAATCAGTTTGTTTAGTGCCTCCTCATATGAAGTCTTTTGGATGAAGGATGAAACGTCTCAGCAAAAATAGAAACTGTCCAGATGACCTGACAAAACATTGTTGGATGACTGCTTTACTCAAACAGCAATAAAGATATGTGGGGTAAAAGATAAAGCAGCTGCTCAAGGACGTCTGAGGAGGTAAACATGATCATGATGCAGATTAAATACACGGGGCTTTCCACTGAATCGACAGCTTTTTTGTTTTGGGCTGTCATTTCTGGGTGCGTTGATGTCAGTGTGGGAAATGGGCTAAACATATGAGTTTGCTGGCTAAAATATTGTGATTTTTTCCACCTTATTTTTTTTATTTAGTCATTCAGCAATTGGGATTTTTATGTTTTATTGTGCTGCTTGATTTCTGTTGGTGATTAAAGCGCTGGCTTTAGTTTCAGATGCTGTTCTTAGTTGTAAGAGGCCTGCAAAATTTAGGACAAATCTTGGCAACAGCACAAAGCCGAAGTTTGTACCCGATGCAAACAAAGTGGGAAGCCGAACAAATGGAGACAAGAGTGGCTCATATGGATGATTTATACCTGTGTTAAAACTCTGGCTTAATTTTCCTGTGAAAGAGGTTTTTTTTCTGTGTACTTTTTTGTAGTGTTTTGCTGAGCTTGTAGTGCTCTGTTGTTACGGAAATACATATTTCTTGATTCAGCAGAAGATGAGGCTCAGAGGATGAAGCATCCCAACAAAAAAAGTCAGATTTTTTTTTTAACACAAGTAAGACAGTGACAAATATCCATACCAATATAAAATGAAATAAAAACTGTTGTTTCTGATGAAGCATGGAAATAATCTTTACATATACTTGATACACGGAAATACAGAGTTTTGGACGACATATCAGATATTCTGAAAACACAAAAGGGGTATAGGTGTATTTTTATATCTGTTAACCAAATATCTCATAAACTCTTGTACATATTTTAATAAAACTCCCAGAAAGTCATCATACAACTAAATACATTTTAAAAGTAAACCCAATTTAGAATGTCTGGTACAGAGATTTAATCTTAGCGAACACAAATATGGCTATAACTCAATCAGTTATACAGACAAAGAGCTAAAATTGATGTGGTAGTTGTTGAGATTAATCCTTTACACATAATTTAAGCACTAAAAGATGGCACATCTTTGTTTAAAACTTTGCTATAAACTATTTAATATTTGCTATTAACTGTGAATAAAATAGTATAAAGATGAAAATTTTTCAAAATGATATAAACCCGTTTTTAATTTTCACTGTTTGAATGAAATAATAAAAGGAGATTTATTACTTATTACTTGTGTGATTTATACCAAATCACAGACGATTCTGTTGGTGTCAACACTTGCTGCAGATACACATCAACTGCCCAAAATATGGACACAGATTGTAAATCCGTGGGCATGATTTTTTAAACTGTGGGGAACAAATTCTAAAAACTTTGCATTAAGTTTGTTCATAAGTCTTTGTGGCCTCCAAAATATGCGTTCTTTGACAATTAAAACTCCAGTTTGGAAGAGCATCTTTGGTAAGATTTATGATTACAGTATATTCTCTAATAAATTCTGTTTTCCGGGCTAAAGATTGCAACTCTGGTTTAGTTAGCTTGTTGCTAACTCTGCAATGGACCAAGCTGTACCCAAGCTGTACCCTTGGGCTGTACCCTCTCTCCTGAAGAATACAGATGTCCAACCTGTGACAATTCTAGAATTGCGCCACTCAAGGTGGCTGCATGGTGGAGTAGCTCTGTTTCATTTGTTCTGGGATGTTTCTTATGGGACATTTGTTATGATGTGTAACAACAACAACGTGTATTTTTTGTTTTGTTTGTTTGTTTGTTTTTTTACAACCGGGAGCTGCTGATTAACATCTCAAAAGCTCAAATATTACCTCAACTACAGCCCCAAATCCCAAATGAGTTGAAAAGGAGGTACCATGGATGCATTCCTGTCTACCTGGCAGCAGTGCTCAAGTGCTGACCTTTGAGGTCCTGGAGCAGGCAGAAACATGGCTCATGACAGTGGGAGGACCGGGATCATCCCCCGGTACCTGCAGCTAGCTGTAATGGTGAGGAGCTCAACAAGCTGCTGAGAGGGGTGGCCTTCGCTCAGGGAGGAGTTCTGCCCAACATTCAGGTGGCCCTGCTGCCCAAACAGAGAAAACCACAAAGTGCAAGTAGACGAATCAACATCTGCAACCGGTTTCTTCAGATCCGCTGTAAGAGATCCCTCCTGCCTACAGCCATCAGCATCTATAACAACTCTTTAATGAAACCAGGATGATGAGTTACAACAACATTTAATTTCCTCTTGGGATTAATAGTTTTTGAATTGAGTTGAATTATCTCACAGATGTAGGTTATTTGGTGTTTTGGAGACCTTTCTTCCCTGGAAGTCAAAAAGATAAGACCCATGTGTTTACAGTGGCCTTGTAAAAATAAATACAAATGAAAATATTTAACCTTTATCACCACTTATCAAAATATTTAGGTGAATGTATGTATATATTTACTCCCATTTGTATAATGTTGGCCCTATTTGACCACAAAATTGCAATGACATTGATACCTATGATGAGTGACTGCAAACCTCTGCATGCAGCTGTAGAATAAACGATTCACAGTGCATCTAAATGTTTCTGTGATATTTGGCAAATCCACATCATTTTGTTGTTATTCTTGAATCCAAAGCTCTTCATTATTCATAAGCTGAGTCATTGAGCACTTTCGTCAGTGTTCACATTAATATTAGTGTCATAAAACTTTTTTTGTGGTTTAGTTGTAGGTGTAAGTGTTTTTATTTAAACCACTTGAAATCAGACCCTTTTGAACTGGAATTTGGTTACCATGGAAGTCACAAGTGCATCAGTCAAATTTCAGTGACTGATTCATTTAAAAACACCTCTGAACCTGCACAAGGAGTATACCCTATGCAGTAAGTAAAGCAATATTTCTATTACATTTCTTTAACTATTCATATTTTATTTATTTCACACAATTTAAACCACAGAAAGGTTTAAGTTAAAGAGAAAATGATTTTTAATAGTCTGATGTATGTGGTAGTGAGTGGGTCAAGAAGGGTGACACTTTTTCCCCACTTAATTACATTGTTGCTGTTGTAAAAGTTGGACCACCAGGTCAATTTACTGACCAATAATAATAGGTTGAATAATTTATATTATGTAACATTATCATAATTTATAAACTGTTGAATTCTTCAAAGTAAGATAGTTATTTAAATACAGAGGAAAGACAATCGTGCTTGTATATTTTCTACCACTCCACTGTCTTCTTGTCAAGCATGCGAGTTCGTTTAACTTTAAATAAAATTTTACATTTTCTACCTTAGAAAGTCTTTGTACTTATTCCTGTACTTGGATGTTAAATTTTATTGTTTGTGTGATTCTTCACACTGTTTTTATTTTTCAGAGCTGATTTCAAAGCTGAAGGCGACTCTGCTCATGGACCAGAGCAACACAAGCATCATGTCGTTATCAACGGTAAGCCACCATAAGGTTTAGCCACCCAAAAGAAAGTTTAAGCTAGTTGCTAGGTAACAGAAAAAGCATTCAAAACACATAATTAAGATTTTTTACATCATAAATTCTACTGCTTTAATTTCTACAATTAGTATTACAATTGAACTACATTCTAAATGTTAATTTGTTCAATCTGTACTAATTATTAGGAATATTGTATTTCCTGTTTGTGGCAGGCTTCACTACTAATGTACTGGTGTTTATAAAGCTGATACAGTAGTTGCTCTGCTCACTTACTGGAAAAGGATTTCATGTCTGCAAGTTAATAATGTGCAATTATATCCCTCAATTCCCAGTCATCTGCTGAGCATGGTGAAATCCAGGCATATCAAAATGATGGAGATAGTTACACACGTTACAAAAGTGTGTCATGATTGAAAGCACATATCGGGATTAATGCTATTGTAGGAACTTTGTAAAACTAAAAATACCCTAGTTTCTTTCATATTTTTTTCTCATCATTTGCTTAAAATGATAAACCAGCCACTAGGGAGCCCGAGCCAGTGTATTTCTTATACCAGTCTCAAGCAAATGGCATATCAGGTTTTCTGGAACTGGTATTGACTGTCACCTTCATCTCTCTCTTTTTATTTATTAATTTATTAATTTTCTTTTTTGTTTGTTTGTTTTGTTTGTGTGTCACTGAAAAAGATCTGCACAGTCCCAGAAGAAACTGAAGACAAGTATGGAGATGGTGAGGAGCAGCTGATCAAGTTGATGAAAACTACAGATAAACCACCATGCATGGACCAGAGTGAAGAGAAGCTTGAGGACCTTAGGGATTTAAAACAACATGAACCCAAACACACTGGCAAAAAATGTTTTATCTGTGACCAGTGTGGCAAGAGATTCAACTTCTCAGGAAATCTGAAACACCATCAGCGGATCCACACTGGAGAAAAGCCTTACACCTGTGACCAGTGTGGCAAGAGATTCAACACCTCAGGATATCTGAAACGCCATAAGCAGATCCACACTGGAGAAAAGCCTTACACCTGTGACCAGTGTGGCAAGAGATTCAACACCTCAGGAGATCTGAAAGTTCACGAACGGATCCACACTGGAGAAAAGCCTTACAACTGTGACCAGTGTGGCAAGAGATTCAACACCTCAGGACATCTGAAATGCCATCAGCAGATCCACACTGAAGAAAAGCTTTACACCTGTGACCAGTGTGGCAAGAGATTCAACTTCTCAGGAAATCTGAAACGCCATCAGCGGATCCACACTGGAGAAAAGCCTTACACC